AAATTTATCAATTGCTTTTTGATCCATAATTGAGTCAATTTCTGGTATAATCTACTGGTTTGATCGTTTTTTCACGATTTTAGGGGTTTTTGTCGTATTTCTGAAGCGCTTGTCGAGCTTTTTTACGCAGAAATTTATTAATTTCTGTTTGGTCTACAATTTAGGGAATTTCTGATTGAACAATATCTTTTTTTTTGATTGAACTTTAATGCAAAAAAGGAGATTTTCCCGCCCATTTGTCTCGCATTCGCATGCAAATAGCCCTCGCTTTAGCGCGTTGTAATGTGCGGCATACCCCGCGGGCCTGTCCGGGAAATCTGATTGACGCTATGAGGCCGGCTGATTCTGGTTAGGTAGGATTGGGAGTAAGGGGTTACGAGGCGCTCGGCTTCAGCTACTTAGTTTTTGGCTTAAGCTTGGGCTTAAATTAGCTTTAACTATGCTTAGCTTAGGCTTAGCATTAAGCGTAAGCTTATCTTGAGCTTTAAATTGCCTTACAAGGTCAAAATGTACTGCTAGATCGGCTCCGTTTGTATGAAGCTCAGACTAGGCGTATCTTAGCGTAGCTTTTCCACGGCTTCGGGTGTAAAAACAACGGGATTTGGAGCGTCTGGTAGTCGAAATTTGTTTGCCGGGGGTTCGAACTTCGCCCGTTTATTCTTTTTTTCTATCTGGGATAGCGTGCTTCTTTTCGGCGCCTCAAGACTATCTTTCTGATTTGGGGCGGGTTACGGTTTCAGTTTCTGTTGTTTTTCTCTATTTAGGAGGGTCAAAGGGATCAGGAAGGCCCAGGAAAAATTTCATAAAGCGGGCTTTAGCTCTAAAATTAGCATAAAGCTTCTATGCTCCCTCCTGCCTTCTGCTCATTTTTTTGCATTAGCATTTCCGGTTGGCCCATTGCTTATGATAGCCCTGATCTACTGGGCCTTCCTGGTCCCTTTAAAAATGTGCGCGTTTTCTTGTTTTCGTGTGATTTTCCTAGTCTGGGGCGTTCTAATTCATGGACCATTTCCAGGGGTACAAAATGACGGACACGAAGACACGCGGCACGATCTCGCTGAAGGGCTCGGCGACGCTGGTACAGGAGTTCTTTAGTGGGTTTTCTGGTTCCGTTTTTCAAATTGTCATGGGCTTCGCGAATTTTTCACCGATACGCACGAAAAAGGAAAGGGCGCTGGGTCTTTGGACGGATTCGAGGAGGGGGGACCAATTTTTTTGCGACTGAAGGCAAAAATTTTTATAAATAGCGGAGGCGTTTCTAAATTGTTTTTTTAGCTGGTCAGAAGCATAAAAACTGTACAAATTTTAATTAAAAATATAATTGTAGGTCGAAAAATTGATTTTTTTTCCACCCAAAATCACCAAATCGTGCATCATAATAATATGGGCTCTATCAATATTGCTCAAGGGGCCTCAGAACGTCAAATAATCGGCAAAAACTGGGCGGAGGGACTAGATTGATCTAGGGGAGACTAGGCCGCCCAAATATGGTGATGAAGTCCCTTGATAAACTAATCCGTTTTGGAAGTTTACAATTTTTAGGCTTTTCCACTTGCGCAAAAATCTCGTGATGCTTGCTGCATGCAGCCATTTCCGCCTCAAACGTGCTGTGTAGGTTGTGGCCTTTGTTTTGGAGCGAGACGACTCTGAATAGATCAAGACAATCACCAAAAAGAAGATAAATATTACAGGGAATGATGTACCGGAGGATGAAAAGAACTTCCTAATTAGCCGAAGAAGCCCTCTGAACAGCACACGAATGCTATGATCTTTGTATGCCCTCCGTTAATTTGCCCTCTCCTCCATCTACAATAGATTCCGGATCTTCTATTCAGCTAGAAACCCGAACACAGCTTCAGAGCATCGCCAGTCATCATTTCCAACAAAAACGGAATCTTCTGGAAGCGGAACCTGGCTTCCGATAAGTCGCGCGCCTGCAGGTTATAATTTGCATCATGGATAATAAGAAGTACGCCAGAGGTCGGAACGCCACGAGAACTACGTCAGCGAGTCCAATGAGAACGAATCTAGCTGCGATTTCAGGCAAGGAAAAGCCGGTAAATGCTGTCTGATCAGAGCATTGGTCGATTTGGCGGGGTTTTCCCCGAAAATTCTGAAACAGTCATACGATGGCTAATAGGTCCAGATCTGCCATTGAGCCGAATTTGAAGTCAATCGGTCACCAAGTAAAGTTTTTGATAGAAATCCATGTTTGCGCGACCTATCGATAAATAGGTCTCTCTTTCGCTCTTTCTTCTCTTGCTCTTGCTCCTGCTCTTCTAGTAATTTTTGTTTAGCCGAATAGGAGATTCGGAGTCTATTGTGGATCGAGTGCAAGGCAAATTAACGAAGGGCATACAAAGATCTTAGCATTCGTGTGCTGTTCAGTGGGCTACTTCGTCTGATTAGGAAGTACTTTTCATCTTTCGGTACATCCGTCTCCTGTAATATTTATCTCCTTTTTTTGGTTGATTTTCTTGATTTAGTCAGAGACGTTTCGTTCCAACAACAAAAGTCACAACCTACACAGCGCGTTTGAGACGAAAGTGGCGACTTCTGTGCAGGGTCGTAGCGTTTAATATACCCTAAAAACGGGGCGCCGCAAGCCGGAATTAAAGACAAATAGTTCAAGCCGTTCTTCATGCTTTTCAATCTTTTATTTTTTCAGATTACGGCATCAACAGCATCCTGTACCAGCGCGGCATCTACCCGGCCGACTCGTTCAAGAGGGAGAAGAAGTACAACCTGCCCCTCTACGTCACCGCCGACCCGAAACTACTCGAGTTCCTGGAGCCGCTCTTCAAGCAGGTCGAAGGTAAAAGCCTATTCTTGGAGCGATTCATTCGCATTTTTTTGAGATTTCCTGGCAAAGAAGCTGCTGAAGAAGCTGGTGGTCGTCATTCAAGAGGTTCGCACGAAGGACGTGCTCGAGCGCTGGCAATTCGACATCGAGACTGAGGACGTCGCCGATGAGGGGTACTTTTTTATCAAACTAGTACGGGGCTTTCCGAGAGAGTAAGGACCGAAAATTTTAGCGCTTTCTTAAAAAGTAGAATTAGATGAAAGGGGGTGTTAAAGGGCGTTGGATGGCATGTGTCGATCCCCCCCATCAACAAATTGGCGAATAGACACCAGGGCAAAGGGCGCAGCCAGGGGACAGGCGCAGAGACATTTTTTTGCGTGCGTAACCGATTGACTTATGCCGTCGGCATACCTTTAACACTACTACGGCAGCTGCCTATTTGCGGTACTGGGCTGTTAGCAGGGGGGATAAGTTGCATCGAGTCTATTTTATTTTATCCGGTAGGATCCTTTAACGAGCAAACACCATTTTCATAGCAGTCTACACAGTCCTTCGATAAAACCCGTTTTAGAAGAGGTTAGGAAAAATTTCGTGTGAATTGTCCAAATGCATGAAAATTCAAAGTTTTCAAAATTCATGTTTTTCGAGGATTTGTCTGCTTTCTATGCTGACAATGAATCTGCTGAGCTGATAACAGCAGACCTCTTTGCCCTTTTAAAGGGGCTGCTCCACGAAATTCGTGATTTTTTTTTTTGTGTGAGCCGCGCAAAACCCAATGCAAAATGCAAATCAGGGACCTAATAACTGTAAGTTTGCTGTGCGTCTGTCTGTCGATCTGTCTCTCTGAAGCCGAATTCAGCTGGAGGGGGAAAGGATTTAGAACTTGTTTATCGGCGGTTCTTGGTCGATTCGCCCACGCTGAATCGAAAAGTATCAAAATCCTACTATATATAAAAAAATAGTGTTTGTGTGTGTGTGTGCATTTGCATGCAACTTCCGTCACCGTGTCCGGAGGATATCTCAAAGGGGGAAGGGTATTAGGCTAAGTATGATACGTCATTAGGTGCGTATTGGACTGGAGATGATTGCACGCATACCAGATTTAGCAAATTATGCTATTTTCGACATTAAAAATCAATTTTTGTTAAAAAATCGGTCAGCCTCTTTGTTAGGAATTAATTAGCATACGCCGGAAGTGGCGGCAGCTTATATAACGACGGAGATGGCGTAGTTTTCATTATTTCTCATCGAAATTCGGCCGAATATGCAATGTGCAGGATATCATGGGCTCAGACGGGGCCAGGGTTGAAAAGTCGCGAAGCGGCTTTTCAACCCTGGTCAGAACTAAAAAATGACATTTAGGGCTCAAAAGTCGATTTTTGTAATTTCAGGGTGACAAATTTGGCTCTTTGGCCTTATCGGGGGGTCGAGAAGAAATTTGATTCTTTGGCATTATCGGGGAGGGAGAAGAAATTTGGCACTTTGGCATTATCGGGGGAAAGAAGAAATTTGGCTTTTTGGCATTGTCGGGCGGGGGGGAAGAAGAAATTTGGCTCTTTTGCGTTATCGGGGGGGGGGGGGCTAGGAATTTCCCTTTTTGGTCCTTTTTTATTAAATTTTTTAAATAATAATTTTGTTTTGCAGGGAGAACTCGACGCGCCAGAAGGATGTGAAGACCATCCAAAAGGAGATGAGCGACGTCATTAGGTGTGTTTCTCGATTAGGATTTTAAAATTTGGTTTTTAATTAGTTTAAATTCTTTTTAAGTTTTGAGTTATTCATTTTTGTCGTTTTTTAAATTCTTTTTTTTTTGCAGGCAAATCACGGCGTCGGTGAGCTTCCTGCCGTTGCTGGAGCAGGCGTGCTCGTTCGACGTGCTCATCTACACGAAGAAGGGGGGCCGAGGCGCCGAAGGACTGGACAGACAGCGGCGCCTGTCTCATCAAGGACGCCGAACATGCAAGTTTTTTTGAATTAAAGAAATTTGCGGGCTGTTTTCGCACTGTTTTTCGACTATTCCTAAGCGTATTAATTTTGAAAATTTGCTTAAAATACAAGCATATCGATTTTGACAAAAAAAAGAATTGGTTTTCGACTTGTTGTGAATTATTGGGAATCTCGAAATTTATGGGAAAATACGCCCCCCCCCCTCCTTTAATGCGTAAGCTCCGGAAAATCGAACACATTGGAATTTAGCGGTTCTTCATTTTCCTATGGGGATCTGGAAGCGGTGAAAAATCCCAATAATCTCTACTAGTTGCCGATCCCCTTGGAGGGCAAAATTTTGAATTAGTATTTTTTTAATCCCACCATATATAAAAAATAGTGTTTGTCTGTGTGCCAGTTTAACAGTTTTTTTTAGCGGGGGGCGGTTGACAAGTTTTCTTTGTTTAGACTGTCCCTGCTTAATAATTAACTGTAGTTTATCTTAATCATGTTTTAGTAGTTTCCGATAACCAAAAATTAGAAAAACTTTTATCCTACATTCACAAAAATCTAGGGGCGTAGCTCGTTTTTAACCATTTTCATAGACGTTAGACCGGAAAAGCGAAAATTTTCAGCATATATATGATGGTTTTCTAAAATTCTCCTCCCCGCTAAGAGTCAAAAACCACTTGAAACGGCTTACAAGTCTACAAAAACGTTAAACTTTTACTAGTCGGCCTGCACAAGATCATAGAGAAAAAGTTCGCAACGCCCCCCGAATAATCTGGAAGTACCCAAAATCCCCTATTTTCGACATTAAATTTAAGTTTTGATGAAAACTTTAAAATTCAATATGGGTTTTTTAATTACTCTTTTTTTGCAGGTGCAACTGCGATCGTTCTCGACGGCGATCCACAACGTGCAGACGGCCGTCCAATACAAGCCCGATCTCTAGACGACAAGAAGCGTTTTGTGTCTTTTGTAAGATGTGTCTATTGTTTGCCCCTAATTTTGTAAATTCCCTCTTTCTGATGATTTTTTCTGTTTGTCGATCTCCCCTTTCACTTTTTCTCTAGCCCCTCTCCCCCCCAATTCCCCCAATTGTCTCTCTCGCGTTGCCCTTCAAATACTGCCTACACTTACCGTATCCCATACACATTCCCCCCACGTTGCTTTACCACATTTTTCACAAGTTTCGAATTTCCCCGCTGACCAGTCGATCCGATATCTGTCGGCCTATGTAATTTACTGTACTGTATAAATTGTTAACACCCTCTGAATTAGTTGAATTTAATTTTAGAAATATCCGATTTTACTGGTTGATTTTTAGCAGCTATTTTTAGAAAGTTCTGCAAATTCTTGGAGGCAATTACGATAGTTTAGAAAGGGATGGTCTGGGTACGGTTGCGGAGAATTTCGCATTTTTAGCGGTTGCGCTTATTTTTAGGTGGTAAACGTTTGGAATTATATTGAAAGGGCCTAGTTTCAAATAATTCTATGGTTACGGTAGCTTACACATACAGGGTGTCCCAAAAAAAACCAGCTTCGGCATTTGCCCGTCTTCTATCCGATCGGGACCAAATTTTTACCAGCGATGGGGACCCATAAAAACTATATGCAGCCGAATTTTCTGCGCAAAATATTGTAAAACAAAAAAGTTGTCGCCAAAAACTGCTTTTTGGGAAACGCTAGTTCTCATTTTTCGCTATGTTTTCGCAATTAGCATGCCGATTTTGAGTAATTTTCCCAAAAATCGTCATTTTCCGACCGTTTCTGTTCATCCTACCTTATATAATACGACAGGCCTCTGTGTCGGTTAATTAGCATCAATGACCCGAGACCGCCAAATCAAATACGGAGGCCATTTGAGCCCCTATTCTGCGCGCCAATTCAAAAGAACAATCGTCAAAGGTTTCTGATTCCTAGTTACTCCATATTAATTTAGATCTGAACTCCGAAGATCTGAAAAGCCGTCCTTCGGTTTCCGATTTATTAGTGTTAAATTTAGGCTAAAGTCTGGTTTCCCCCCCCAATACAATTTATACAATTACAATAGTGTTCGAGCGGTTATTCGAATTTTGCTTGTTTTTGACATAAATATTTTATTTTACATTATTTTGGGTTGTAATTAAAACTCTTAGTAAATTTTTTCATGCTCGATCGAAGGCGTATCGAAAATGTCGAAAAAATAACAAAAGCATCGAAGACTAGCTTTTTAACCACATTTTTAGAGGTTCTTTTTGTTTTTGCAATGATTTTTCTTTTTTTTTCAGTTTTTCTTAACAACAAACAATGTTTTTGCAATTAAAATATTAGTACAATTACGATTATTTATACAATTACAATTATTATTACAATATTACAATATATTATTGAGCTGCCATAAAAAATCTTATTTTGCCATAAAACTGCCATAAAACTCAAATATTTTTATTTTCCGCTATTTTTCCGACTCAAATGCATTGTAGGCTGATTCTCCAGAGCAAGAGCTACATTTTGGTACCATTGACAGCTCTGTAGGACAAAAGATGGCCGAGATACGACAACTCACTTTGGAACAGCAAAAATTAACTAAAGAAAGCCCAGACTTATAATTGTTAAAAAAATTTTATACCAATTTTTGGTGTAAGAAAACAACTTTTTTATAGTAATTCGACCATGGCGAACATTTTGAGATACTGCATGCATTAATAGGACGAACGGCTGAAATGTTACGGCTGGCGCGGGGGGGGGTCAACTAGACTTTAGCTTAAATTTAATGCATAAAATCAATTTCTTAAAAAGTGTCGTTATAAAAAAATAGTTGGAAATAATGTAAACCATTTTAGAAATGCCTGAACAAGGAGAAGAAGAGGAGGATATCTGGGGGTGGATGATCTCTCTGTTATCTAGACTTTTCAACCAGTTTTATGGCTGGATCTTTGGAAGAAGAAGAAGAACAAGAACTTTGGAAAACATATCAACAACAAGATCAACGAGAACACCAAGAAGTCTTCTGTCTCGATTCCCAATTCGACATCTTCCCCCTCAGATCCTCCCTATCGTCATAGATCAATTAGCTATCCAACAATTACTCCTATTACAGCGCGTCAACAGGAAACTCAGGTATTACTGGTTCTTCCGGTAAAGGTTGCTTAACGGGGGGGGGGGCAAATAACGGAGGTCCAAACAATTTTTTTGTGTCTATGAAGAATATCCTGCTATTTTGAAAACCCCATCTGATAGAGCGTCGAAAATTAGACTAAGAGATTTGCTTTCAGTCGAAAAAACCTCATTTTTAACGATTTTTACTTGATTAATCGCTTAATCAAGTAATAATTTTAAATTTTGGTATTTCGGGCTGAATTTAAATCTCTAAGTATAATTTCGACGCTCTATCCGACGACAGGTCCCTATCGGGGAAAATGGTTTCCACCCCCGTTATTTCACCCTTCTGGGGTTTGGGGCCGCACTGACTCCCTTCCCTACCTGGCCCTGTGGTATAGTGGACTAGCGCGTCGGACTATGGACTATGGAGCGAATCATCGCGGGTTCGACCCTGGAGCGATCGGAAATTTTGAGGCGCTCTTCCGCAGACACGTTACTTTTTGGTAAAAATTTACAGGGTGTATCAAAAAAAAGTGCCCAAGTTTGTCCCCAATTATCTCGAGAAGGAAAGATATTTCACCGTGCGTTACCATGCCAGAATGCTTAAATATGTCAGGAATAGGGAAATCACTCAACTTGATTTTTTCGATTTTTGGCGACGTATCAATACAAATGACACCCGAAAACTGTGCGTTCGGGGAAACTTCACTTGCATTTTTCTCAGCTTCCTGTGGTGGTTGGCTTCTAATTTTTACAATGTAGGTTCATCTATGCAACAGATATTCACCTAAAAAAAATTTAGATGGAATTCGGCTAAGTTCTTTTCTTAGTTATGTAGGACTGGGGCTTATCTATCATCTGCAAGAATTTGAGCTACCGTACCCCTCGGAAGGGCGCCTTTTAGGGCCCCCAAAACGGTTGGTTCGTGCTATTTTGCAAACCTTACCTCCTTTCTATAAAATTGAATTGTGCCGTTAAAATTCTCGCCACAATTTTGTTTGATACTATCTGAGTGGCGCATTCAAATAGTATATTGACAAATTTATTCAGCCATACGCTATCTCAAAAGAAATTCCTGAAAAGCCCAAATATACCCGAATTCGAGACTATGTAAAAAAATTCTCGATGCGCTAGCAGACGTGAAATTTTTAGCATAAACCAGGCATGGGTAGTCAATTAAAAACCATGCAAAGAAAAAACTTTTCTATGGCAAGCGAATTTATAAGAGCCCACAGAAGCCAGGTTTTCAAAAAACATCATTTTCCGGTTTTAAGCCAAGATTACTCATGAACTTCTACTGGACCATTTCAAAATTCCACTGTCATGCACAGTTCGATACGTGCTTTAATTGTATCCACCAAACCCCGGTGCCTTTTTCATTTTCAAAAATTCGATTTTCGACCCGAGGTCACGGGTCCAAAAACGGGCGCTGAGGAGAGTTTTCCACTTTCCCTCATAACTTTGTCATTTGCCATCGGAAATAAGCAGTTTTTTGTCTAGGCTCTTACAATCACCCGGAAAACAGTCTAGAATAGAAAAATGGTCACTTTATGGTATTTTGTCTTGGCATGCTAAAATGCGCTCCAGGCGGGTTACTGTAGAAAACAGAAAATCGCCGTTTTCGTGATCTTTTCACCATAGAATCGTTTCAAACTTTTCAGAAAACAAATAATAGCAGTTTTTGGTCCGATCCATTAAAATATTGAGGAATTTCCGTGGCAGAATTCAAAAATCCGTTTTCACCATATTTTAAGAAAGTGTGTGGATAGAATGCGGCGATATTTGGCCAATGGGTGCCCCTTACCATTGTTAAGCAATGATAAAATTTTCAGCGAGATCGTAGCTTAGAGTCAAGAGAAAAACGCGAAAAACCAAAACTACAGTATCCCTCTGGGGCACGTTTTAGCAAGCAATAGAAAAATACCATAGAATCGGGTGAAAAATGGTGTTGTGACAAAGATCATCATCCGGAGACACCATTTGCAAAAAGTCCGCCATGGGCAGCGGATTTAAAGCGAGTTGCCAATTAAAGTGTAAAAAGATACAAAACAGTGAAATTTGTTTTGCTTGTAAAAAAAGAACTGGAGCTTAAAAAATTCTAATATTTAGCCATTAGCTTTCTACAAATGCCAACGATTTTTGGGCCAAAAATCAGAATTTTCCCACCACCCATTCAAGAACGCACAATTTTCGGTCGTAACCAGCGTCAATAGTACAGTTGCGTACTCAAAAATCGAAAAACTTAAGTTGAGTTATTTCCCTATTCCTGACATATTTAAGCATTCTGGCATGGTAACGCACGGTGAAATATCTTTCCTTCTCGAGATAATTGGGGACAAACTTGGGCACTTTTTCTTGATACACCCTGTATGAAAAATGGCCAAAAAAGGCCAAAACTTTTTTGAAATGCTTTGCTTGACTTCCATGGCCATAAAAACTACTAAAGCACTATAAAAATACAGCATATTATGTGGAGGTCTAGACGGAAAAATGTAGATGATTTCCCCCTCATTCTCCATGTCTCTCTCTCTCTCTCTCTCTCTCTCTCTCTCTCTCTCTCCCGAAAACTGGTCCCTCTCACAGGGTTTCCTTTTCCTTCCGCGATAACAAAAGCGCAGTTAAATACAGGGTATCCCAATAACAAATACCCCCCTTTAACTCGACGCAGAAGTTTCGGATCGGAATGTAATTTACACCATGCGAAAGCCCGTGAAACCGCGAGTTTGCACCAGAAGATATCTCGCGACCCAGGACGAATTAGGTCCTCATTTTTTCGGGGTTAGGCGGCAACTGCAATTCTCCCGATAATAGTTTTGGGAATTTTTCAAATTCGTTAAAATAAAGTTTTTATCAGCATTTTTCTAA